TTTTTTTCTAGGGATTCAGAGGCGGCGTTTGGCACCCAAAGTGGAACGAGGGGAGGCTCGTTTTGGACCAGAATTAGATTGGGAAAAGCCGTGGCGTGACCAGGTGTTCGGGGCCAAGATGAGCGAAACAAACGGCAACAGACGTCCTTTTTTTTTCTAGGGATTCAGAGGCGGCGTTTGGCACCCAAAGTGGAACCAGGGGAGGCTCGTTTTGGACCAGAATTAGATTGGGAAAAGCCGTCAAGTTTCCATTTTGATCGTAAGTCTTGTCGCCAGCCATCGTGAGAATATTGAAAGCTTTACAGTAATTTATTGCATTCTGAAGTGTACCTGCTTCAACTGTTGAACAACCCGTCCAATTTGATCGGTTTGTTTCATAGCTTTTTGCCGACTGCAAGCTGCAGTACTCCTGCTCCTTGATGAGTCCCGGGGTCGGCGGCAGGGGCGGCAGCCCTTAAATATACTATAGTACATATATATGTATATATATATATCACTGTAATAGCTCCAGTTTCCACAAAAGTTGCATATTTCATCAGTCAGACGTGGAGTCCACCCACAACTCGCAGTTGTCCAAAGCCAGCTGGGCCATGCTGGGCCCACATACTGAGTGCTTGGAAGCTGCGCCTCCGGTGGCTACGGTCCTTCCAGTCCTTCCTGGCCTCAATCCCTCCTCTGTGTTGCTCCACAATTGAATCTCATAAACAAGATCGCTATGATTCCGAAAGTCTGCGCGCGTCAGACTCAGATAGTGCGAAGAGTGATGAGAAATCTAGATTCGTGCGTCTTACGGCAAACTCTGGAGTACTCATATTGTGTAGATCTCAGTTAAGAGCCTCCCTGATTCCTTTTGGCAACATTCCCGTCCAGCCTGCATTAGCTGCGACTGTGTGGTTCGCTGCAAGGAAGATGAGCTTACTGGAGGTGGTGTGGGAACTTGGATTCCCGCCTCCGCATTGACAATACTGACGAAATTTTGTCACCTGCATGTGCACAGCCCGTTTGGAAAAATTGACCACATCCATGATTGAATTCTAAGTTTCTTGTTGACTTGATCCCCAAGTACGCATTCCGCATCCTTAGGCCAAGCCTTAACATTGCAAAATCATCTCATCGCGGATGGCCTCTGCTTGAGGCGGTTGTAGCGGCGGTTGGCTCATCTTCCGCAAGGCGGCTTGCT